TACATACGTACTATTGTTTAGTTATTTAGCACTTCTTTGGGCATGCGGGTATTTCTATGAAAGGGTTCATATTTTGCATATTTTTAGAAGTTGCAATTTTTGAGTAAGAGCAATAACCAGTAACATTTTTTCTCTTGAAAACCGTCGTTTTTAGCGCATTCTTTGAAAAAAATACGCTATTATATTCGTTATGGTTGGCTGGCCGACTGTCCGGGTGAGATCTCAGCAACTACAATAACTAGACACCTCAAATTTTCACTAAAAGCTTTCTGCTATAGAATAGATGTGCAGGCTCTAGTCTATTTTGAGTTAGATTACTTGTGAGATCGATAATTTAAGAAAATATTTTCGATATGGTTTTCGGAGGTGCTATAATTTTACAGTTAAATAGCGCTACCAGTATAAAAACTTAATTATTTACTTTGTGATGTGTTTTACAAAATAAAGACGTACCCTGAATTGAAATTAAATAAAATTAATTATTTAAGGCAGCCAAAATTACTCGTGAGATCGATAATTTTAAACTTCGCTAATAAAATACTGACTTGTATTACCAAAAATGCGCTTTAATAATGCATATGCTGATTTACAACTTGTTTGAATTATTTCTCAAAAATCATTGAACACAATTTAAAAAATTTTAGTAACAATTATTTTTGTAATTTTTTTTAATGTTGATAAGTTGACCAGAGACACATCTAGTTACCCCTCGAGTTACCCCGTGCATTTTTACCAAAACCTAAAAATGAGTTCATGTGAGCTCATAACTGCAATTCCTTGTGCATTTAACTTCTCTTCATCTCTGTGGCTTTTTGAAAATCTTGTATTAATCACCTGTATGGGCAAAACAAAATAGTGACCGATTGTACTTAAAAAATTAAAGAGTTAACCTAATTTTTATTGAATCATGACAACCCGAGGTTCATTGTTTACAATGTAAATAAAAGAAGTTGGTAAAGCTCTAGCATATAATACACGTTTACCTATAAAATGCACTATGCATATTTTTTAAAATAGCCGATAACAAATTTCGTTTCAAAAATGAGTGTTGACAATATTCACCCAAAACAACGGTACTTCTTTAATACAACCGCCACAATGATCGTTATACGTACACAAAAAGATACACCCAATAAACTAGATACCATTATCAGACTAAAATCAAATGAATTCAAACTTACGTACCCCACTAATAAATGGGTTTCGGATTACGATATAGGTAAAAGAAAGGTAGGTAATTAAATTACAACATATGGCATAAATTGGGCATAACCTACAACGATACGTGGTAAACCAAACAAAAATAACTTTACCTCGGAAAAATATCACCAATGCCTTATTCATGTAAATACGTTTAGGTAAATAATATAGACAATTTTAACAGGAAGGCTTTGGATTTTCCACTTTAGATTTCCACATCTTCCGCAAGGTAAGTAATCCCTTTGAAATGGTGAGGTTAAACAGACTCATCTAAATTAGTAAGTATGAAATCTTCAAATTTTATACAGCTACAGTAGCAGTAATCGTATCTGTGCTACCATAATAGGGGTACAAATGCTGACGTAATCTACCCATTGAATTGTAAGGTTGCTAAAAAAATTGTGTAAATTACGTCATTTTTACTAATACGAACTGGTATGAAAGTACTCGAGAGGGTAAAGGTAAAATTTTATATTCATGGGGTTCCATGAAAATCCTTTACGTTTACACCATCGACTACTTTTCTTAAACGAGCTCTTTTAGTGCAGATATGACTCTTGGAACTCTTTTAATGAAAACATCTGGTACTCCTATGAAAAAGACGAATGGTTTTTTTCTCAACAATTTCTAAACAAGTGCAAGCACTTTTTCTTTAACTGGAACGTTATATACTTGATTTATTTTTTTAATTAACAGCCACTGCGCTTTTCATAACTTTGAACGTTTACCCTTTTCTGCGATCTAATTTTTTTGAAACCGACCTGTACGCTCAGGTGGTCGATCTTAATCTACCCAGCCTTCCCCTTTCCTATCGTTGCCAGTTACAAAATCTGAAACGGAACCGACTTCCGTTAGGTCGCTTCCGCACGCTTCTATACCAACCGCAATCCATTATTCTTATCTGTAATTGTTGCGGGACTAATTTACCGAAACGGAACCAACACAATTGATGACTCGCGTCTGTTTTTATCGTTATCCACGGTGGTCTGGCGTAAATCACGTACCGCAGCGATGTACCTACTACATACATTACTTGAACTTAAGATTTCAAGGTAAACTAACCCCTCCCCCACATTATTAGAGAGAACTTTTTTTTTCGTGTACCGGGTGACCCAATAAGACTGTTCGTCGGCCATATCTCGGGAACCGTTCGTCGTATGACTTAGGGGTAAAAAAAATTATTGGGTAAATCGCTTATGAAGAATCGCTGGAAAATATTTTCAAGTTCTAAAAATGACCACCAGAGGGCGTAACTACCATCTTAAATTTTAAAATTGCATTTTCTTTAAATTTCGCATAATACACTAAAAAAAATTTTTTCACATTTTTAAAGAGACCAGTTTATCATTTTCGTAAAAAATAACTCAGTTATTTCAAAAACAAAGAGGGTGCGGGGCATTAAATTGTTTTTGCAATAACCTGCTTTAACTTCTTCACGGTTGGACCGATTTTAACAAATTTGGTATGGTTTAATTGTAAATATAACTAGTTATCATCATCACTACTAGATGGAATAATACCCACATATTCACATACATTATTTTACCACTGCGTTTGTTTGCGATTTAGATTTTAATTGTGAATATTATGTTGTGGTTCGATTGAAAAACAGATGTTAATCTGAATCCCATCTTACGGTTTTAAAACAATTTGGCGAATTGCTACTCAATATTTAAAATTTAATTGAATATTATAACCACTTCCCTCAAATGAAAAACGAGTTAGGATCCTAAATCTTCTCCTCCACGTGCGTCAAATCTGCTGGTCCAGCCAATTTTTTCCTAACGGTTATCTCAGTCTTACTAGGAAATGTAATCCTACCGCTCAACTAAAAAGGATATAAATCAAGCTCCTCGCAATCTTGACTCCAAAAGTAATAAAAGAACAAAAGCCCATTGAAAATTGGATATGTAGAAATGACACATATTTAGATGACCGCAAACATCCCGATAAATTCTTTGTATCATCATGGTCAAAGTTTGTTTGGGAAGACACTACAGAATCTTGACACTGCTTTACACATTTCTAGGGGCAAAATTCAAAAATTTAAATCCAAACCTAATGATCATGTAACATTGTCTACATGAAACCCATCCAGTTCGAAATGAACTTCTTTAAACCTCTTTTCGAAGAGAAGTGAATGTTTGTCGGGTAACACAATGCCAACAAATGAATTGCCCCAAAACTAGGCCACGACAGGAATTTGTATCCGAAGGTCGAAGGAAGTGATTGGGCATATCTAGAAGGGTCTCTAACGCAATTCCCATTGAGGAACAGTTTGTTTATATGCTTGATGTTTCAAGCGAGTGTTCCAAGTCAAGACGTCTATTATAAAGTTGTCGACCGAGTATTTTAGTTGATACCCCTTGATAGCGCTGACACATTATAAAGATCCTAACCTTTGAGGATAGTACTCAGCAGTTCCGCCCTCTGAGGAAAGTAATGCGCAGCCTAAACGAAGCAGAAGGAAGATCCAAGTGCTTGTGTTGTTGCGCATCCGAAAAGTAGAATGTGTCGGAGACTGTAACAAACAGAAAGAAACAAAGTTCGCCCGTGATGCTGTTTTACGTTTTTATCTTCATCTATATGTTACCTAGTATTTTCTCTCATCACAAGAATTTATTGACATCTTTGCCCCTCTTATTTAAATATTGTATACATAAATGAACCTGCCGTCAAAAGTACAATTTACTGTAACAAATCCAAAGTTCGAAGAAATATGAGAATAAACTAAGAATCATAAAAATAAACGGCAACGGACACAGAAAATTTTTTTTATATATAAATTGACATATAAATCTAAATTATTTAAATAATACACATAATTACGACTAGATTTGTATTGTAAACGGACACAAAAAGTTAAATCCATTTGACTAGAACTATACAGCAAGTTTTTTGTTTAAAAGAATACAATTAATCTCAAGACGACATTTCTTAAAGAATATTTGTACAATTTCATGTCTCAAAATTAACTGTCACGAGTTGTGCGACACTGCATTTACACGCATGCAATGGAACATTAATAAAAATGTTAATCTCTTTATATTAATATGAAATAAATGGTGAGTACTATAGAACTCCGTTTGCAGGGTCAGTAGTGTGCGCTGGACGGTTCCCCTAACCACGAGTCGGGACTGGGCGGGAAGTCTGGATAGCCCCTCGGACTGCTGTCGTTGCTGATGTCGGTGTCGGCGCCGGGAGGAAGACCGTGCGGTAAGCTCATACCGGGAGGTGGCCCTTGAGCTGCAACGTTACGATAACGCTCGAATTGGATGATTTTGGAACTTACTTATTGAGGTATACACAGAAAGTTGGTCGGAGTAGGGATATGGGTCTAGTCCTTGTGGAGGTGTGTGTCCAGGTAGATATGAAGGTGATCCGGAACCGCGCAGGAAGGAGTGTGAACGCCCGACGCCGTGCGGAGACGAACCATCTTGATCCATGCTCATATTGACTACGGTACCGTAACTATCGTCACTTAAGTCTGTAACAAGCAAATTGGTCAAATGAAAATCTACCAGGTGGAAGTTTATTACCGTGGTGATTGTAGCTGTCCAAGTCCACCTTCATTTCGTCCTTGTCCAGCAGCTTGTCGTGCCGAGGTGAAGATCCGCCCTTCATCGATCTGAAGTACTGACTCCATCGCGTCCGTCCAGCGTCCTTCTTCAGCCTTTTTTCTTTCGCCCTCCTTTTAGCAGCAGTACGACTAATGTTAAACATTTTTTAAAGCATTCTAATCTATTTTATATATACCTATTTTGAAACCACACTTGGACTACCCTCATATCTAAACCGGTGTCTTGACTAAGCTGTTCTCGCACGTGCCTGGCGGGTTTTGGGCTGTTGTTGTACGCCGTTTTCAACGTTTCTAACTGTTTGGCGGTTATTGTCGTTCGTGGTCTTTTATTAGGCTGATCTCCGTCCAAGCACTCCGCAGCTGTTTGCAGAAAAAGACTCAAACTCGCTTCTAGGCGTCTTTCTCAGTTACCTTTACTTTTAGCCGCTTCGTAGTCTGGTTTGCAAACTAGTTTTCGGTCCTCCATCAGGTAAAATTCGTCACCGGTATTCAGCTGCCTCGCGCACATGATACAGGCAAAGCACTGGAGATGGTAAACGTTGTCTTGTGCTCTTCTCACTACTTGCGTTGGTGGAATTCCCAGGTCGCATCCTGCACACTTCGTGCCGAATCGTCTGCACCCACAGCGCCACATAGACAGTCGTCATTGTTACATCTTCACTACATTACACTTCGACAATTTTATGAAAAATGGCACAGACAGAATGGTCTGTTTTCATAATTCCATCGAAATGTTTAATATTGTCTACGTTCAGCATGCAAGCAATACAATATTGCATACTTACTTGAAGAAATCTTCCTTGCAGAAAAGCTGACCGTTCCTTGCAAAACATTTGTCGGTTAGTTGTATTCTACAGTCCGTGCATTGTAAACATTTGGCGTGCCACGTTCGGTCCGCCACTTTCAGTATAAACCGGTCTAAGATCATTTCGTGACAACCTCCGCACTTTGGTATAGTGGCTGAAACAAAAAGGATCCTAAATTTAGAATACAGGTAGAAAACAAATCGAGCTTAGGTTCTGGCGTAAGTGGATAAAATTTTAGGCAACATTGCTAAGTTTGTCAGTACAGAATACCACTTTTAGCAAATATTGCTTGTCTAGCAATTACCTTCACTATTAGCAAGTTGCTAAGATTATTTTAAGTTACAAAATTGGACTGATTGACATCACTCCTTATTTTAAATGGACGCAATATTGCATTTTTAGGTCTAAACGCCAAACGGTGTAGTTCAGGAATGGATGGGTTCCGCTCCTGCTCTTCCACCCAACCGAATCGCCTGCTTGCGAGGTATTTTGTAAAAAACAGGCTATGTAGCCTCTCTTTCTTTCAGGGATGTTATGTTTGTTTCATGTGCTTCAGAATCAATTTTTGTCATTGTCAATAAATCAATTGTGTGTTTATTCCAACCCATTGTGCGACCCAGATAGAGTACGCACGTCGTAAATTTTTTCCTATTCGTGCCCAAGGTTTATTCCCGTTGTTAATCAAATCAAATTACAAATTTGTCCTTTAGAATTTTTGAGTCTTTCAAATTATATAATTCCAGGTCAATACTAGGATTCTTCTTGAGAACGAGAACCGGTTGTGCTTTGGGATATTCATGATTTTAGTAATGGAGATACCTAGGCAGAGTTGTTTTGTGGGGGGCGTAGTGACCGTATGCCTTTGCACGCAGTATTATTTATTTGAAGCCCAACGTGGTGCCATAGCAATATGTATAATTAACATAAATAATCCAAATTCCACTATTTCTAACATGATAATAGTTCATATTTTTTCTGTCCTGAGCATTGGTAACTCCTTCCATTTCAGATGGTACCAGGTTGCACATTTAGTTTTCGTTTTCAGTGCAATCGTACACAGGGTGTCTCCATTTCAATCTATTCATAATGCATTATTCGAAAACTAACAATATAATTCTCGGACACGTTGGCGATTGGGCTAAAAAAGTATTGTTTGATTATGTGTTGAAGAACACCTGTAACATTTGTAGCGATTGGATAGATGGCTCCACCTAGTGATGGAATTCAATCACGCAATTTTCCGCACAGAACCGACAGCGCCTTGTTTTTTGGTTGTCTATTTGCATGTAGCGTAAGGTAGAACGCATGGAGTTCTAATTGCCATCTTCCGAACATTAGAGTATTGATATCTGGCGATTGAATTTTTAATTTGGGAATTCCGAAGTAATTAGTTTGGACGGGATTCAACCAGCTTAGTCTTTTTATCTAAGAGGGAGGTAAATTGTATGTCATCAAAGAAAGGGGGTCACTTTTGATTTCTTTCAGGGTTCAAGTTCCAGACACGTTTTACGTTACATACCGATTCCTCTTCGAAGTTTTGTAATTCACCGTTGCCTGCGGGTGCCAACGCCCTTAGCTTATATTTCCATCTGCTGGTAGCAAGCGGTCAATTTGCTGTGGTACGCGTATCAGAAATAGATTACTGGGTCACGACGAAGATATTAACAGCGAGGTTCGCCCCTCATATTATACTTCTGCGTATTATAAAGGGAAGTGAAATTTGAGAGTGGCGACAAAAGACTACATTCGTTTCTACAAACCTCTACCACGTCCTAAATACCAATCTACCTAGCAAGACATGTAATAATAACCAAAGACAAACTTAGAGGTGAGTTTTAGTAAGAGAATTTTTGCATGGCGCACTTTTAAGTAGTATTATATAATCCGGGGGTGAGTATATCCATCAGAGGTGAGCATCAAAGGCACATGTTCAGATCACAAATGTTCTGAAAAGTAGAAATCTATCGTATCGGATCTTAGTCGTGCCATAAATACAAGCCACAAAAAAGATTGAAATGTTTATATTAACATTAATTTATTTTCGGAAAATAAAGATTGGAAGTTAGCACTAAAGCCGAGACTTATTAAGCCATATTAATTGTATGTTACTAAGCACAGTTCGTGAGAGAATACTAGCTATCAATCAATCAACGAAAACTTTCGACCCCAGTTAATTTCATTAGATAGATGCACTTTACGTAGCATTTTGGTGGTGCCCATTATGTATATAATTTAGTATACAGGGTGGCAATTTGAAAACTTACAATGACATAGTTGACGACGCACTCCCTCCAACCCCCTGCGCCCCAACCACCCCAACTTTTAAATCTTAAATAGTGACCCCCATGTGTGATACGTCGTTGGAAAGCTCATATTAGTTTATTTTTTGATTTGATTACTAACCTAAATGTAATGCTATTTGGTATGGTTGGTAAGCATTTTTTCAGAACTTTCCAACGACGTATCACACATTGGGGGTTACTATTTAAGATTTAAAAGTTTAGGTGGCTGGGGCGCAGGGGTTGAAGGGAGTGCGTCGCCAACTATGCCATTGGGATTCCCCCTCCGCATTACCGAAACGGATTTTGATTTTTTAAAATTTCTCGTCCATTTACTAAGACATGGGGGGGTGGTAAGTTTTCAAATTGCCACCCTGCATATCTCGGTAAATAACGTCTGTCTAAAAAAATGTCTATATAAAAGCTACGTAATATTTTATTTCCCATAATATATTAATAATAATAATATTTAATTACTCAACAGAACAAAAATTATTCCAATTATAGGACAATGTTGTGTAATACTAGAGACGGCACATCAAAATAACATAAATTAAGCTACCAATAATATATAGAGAAATTGATTCAAAACCCATTAGAAATCAACAATCATTTATATCAACAATCAATAAAATTATAATATGGCAGCATTCAGTTGTTTTATTTCGGAACACAAATGAGTAACGAAAAACAATTGAATTTTTTTAAATGGCAGTACACCATTTTATTAGGCTCATTTGTTAGAGATTTTTTTTCTCTTTTCGATAATGTAACATGTTGTACCCTAATACAAGACAATTTTTCAACAAAATTCTAGATCAAGATATCCGACATCAAAATACAACAAATGAACGTGCACGTTTCTTATTAAAAACCTGGAAGACAAAATAAAATTAGAAATAAAATAGTTTTTATCGTAATTATTAACTGCAAGGTAGTGAACACCTATCACGGAAAGCTTGAAATTAATGTCTGAGTATTCTGGGAGAAATTGCTGCCGCAATTATTGCTAGGTTCGTGTTGTCTTCAAGAAACGTAAAGTTCATTTGTTTTATTTTGATATATGATATCTAGATTAATGTTATTGATGTAATTATAATAATTTTTTTTTCAAAAATATAAGGGTAGGTACTCGTCGAAAAGAGAAAAAAATCTCTATCAAATTAGCGTAATGAAACGGTACATTGCTGTTTAAAAAAATTCAATTGTTTTCCGTTGCTCATTTGTTTTCTGACATAAGAACAACTGAATGCTGCCTTATTAAGGGAAATAAAATGTGAAACAACTTTCATATAAAAATTTTTGTATACAGTCGATATTTACCGAGACCTAGATTTACATATACTATATTCCATACATAATGGACACCCTGTATATTAGAATTATCTACTTGTTATTCATTGACCAATTTCAAAAAGTCATAGAATGGAAGGTTTCAAGCTTTCGGTCAGGACTAAAATTATACAAAGCGTCCAGATCGAGTGGATGACTTTGGGTGATCTTGAAGATCATCAGGTTAAATGGACACAAATATAAAACTAAAAAGAAACTCAAAGAAAAAATATATTGTTGCGTAAATTACGTCATACGAAGGTTTTATTTGCTTTCAGCGCCTAGAGTCATGTTGGGTCACCCGGTATGTGTTTAATTTTATTTACATTTGAGGTTAAATGTTGGTAGCTAATTTCGATCATGTTATTCGAATATGATTTGCAGTAGAATTACTAGCTGCCCAATTTTTGTTTAAATAATTTGTTTGATTTGATTTTAATTGAATGCGATTTGCGTGAAATGTTCTGTTAAAGTTATCTCATGTTATAGTCAGTCATTACGATAAGAATGTTATCGCTGAATAAAGCTAATTATGTTAGATATGCAGCTGTTGATCATGTATACACAGATGTAGTGATCTGACGACGCAGTAATTTTGGTAACTTGTGGAGGAGGTTGTTCGGAAAGTTGAAAAGAAAAGGAAACTGTTTTAAATAGAAGACACGGACATTAATCGTGGCTTTTTTGGTAGTGGCTTTTGGTCTTTGTGTTGTGATAGGCAATTTGCCGTATTTGCCAGTACTATTGCAAGAGAGAAGAAATTTAGTTGATTGCTCCAAGAAATATTTATTACACTGTTTAAAGTGAATGTTTAAGTCGAATTAAAAAAGTAAAGTTTACCAATAAGTTGTGTATATCGAGCAGTTAACGCGTAGCCTTTCTCCAAGGTCTTCAAGTGTCAGTTGAAGGTAGTTTTTTCCACTATCAACCAATTTTATATCTGTAATTACAACGAACCCAGAGACGTCTAAATACAAAGTGCAATAAAAGAAGTGAGGTTCCGAAGTATCATAATTTTGTGTTTGTCTTTGTACGTCATTTAATGAAAATCTCAGTTACGACCGGATATTGTAGGTTATGAATACTAAGATAATTAAGATTTCTTTAATTGTTTCCATCGATCGCTTGTGGCGTGGTATTTGTACATGACCCTGAGCGCCTATTTTTATTTCAACATTATTGATTGATTTTGTGTAGCAAATTTGTTTCATCTGTAAATATTATGTTTAATCCAGTTCAAATGAAGACCTAGATTAGAATGTTCATGTTAAATTTTTCTATTGGTGCCCAGGGTTTCAGGTGTTTAAATAACCATTTTAAATTCGTTTTTTTTTACTTTCGAAGGCGTTTAAGGTTTAGAAACCGTTTTCCATTGCACATATCCAGCATTATAAATTTGCAGAAAGCTTCGTATCGATAATAATTTACGAATCACCAAAGAATAATTTTGTGCTCATTTTGTCCTATTTTTATCATATCAGACAAATTCAAATTCAAATTGTGCAGTGTTTAATCGACGGCAGGCAAACGGAAACTCTGTGAAATTGTAATTAATTTTTTTACGATTGAATTAGTACCTAATTCGCTGTATTGTCATCGGTTTCATTGGTTCGTAGAGCAAAAGGCATCTTCGGTATCTAACAATAAATACCTATGTTCTTACAGTTGGTACTTGAGACTGTTTAGAATTTGACATTGGTTAATATCATATGGCAAAGAAAGAAAATAATGGAATTCAAAGTATATGGAAATCCGAAGAGCAGAAATCTCCGACGGCATGAGAGTTTTTGAGCAGATTTTTGAGTACAGGTAGAAATTTAAATTAGTGTTCTTGAGGCGACACGCCGCCCGCTTGATACCTGCATAAGTAATGCTCAAATATTTGCTTCGCTAATTATTCTAGAAGCAAATTTCTTATATAGAGGATGAACATTTTTACCAGCAGAGTGCGAATTACTTTAAAATCTGATTTAAAGGTGACTTTTTAAAAAGCGGAAGACCTTCCAGGTTTGTTTTGCACTTGGATACACTCAACATGAGGTGAAATTATTGCGGAATCCCCCCGTCGCCCCTCATTAACAAAAACCTAGCTGCGCTACTGAATAGTATATATCTTAATATTAATTATAATCAATTCATATCTTCCTACGAAAAATGTACCTACCCAACGCCACAAAATTTAGACAAACGATTCAGTGTAATCTTGAAGCTGGAGCTCCATTTGAAAAATATGAATCTCAAAAACGATAACAGCACAACAATTTAATGAGTATTCAAAAAATGAGCACAAAAGTGATACGTGAAAGGATTTCTTGTTTCACTTGAGGGTGAAGATGGAGACCGATTCTAAAATGTGCACAATATGTGTAAACAGGGCTAAATCAGCAGAAAATTAACAGAAAAAAATTACCAATTTTACAAAAGAGTATAAGCGCGATACTATCATTCTTATTTAAATAATTCGAAAACGGCGAGAAGACATAATTTATATAAGATACGAAAAAAAACAGTAAATGAGACCAAAATTATAGTAAAATCAAAAATTGACTATTGCGACGTTATGAACTTCTTCGTCGGCATCTTCTAATCGCGGTCCTGGTTTTCGGAACGTTCTGAATTACATTATAAAAAAAAACACTCTCCAATTTGATTTAATTTCACCGTCAGTAATATTTTCTTTAATTAATTAATCTGACTTATTAGAAAACTGTCTTAAATACTGAAATTTGGATTATACCAAATCCATCCTACCCATTTATCTTACAGTCGCATAACGAATTATAATTTTGAATGCGAAAAAAATTACACAAAATTTAAAATGTTAAACTACCAAAAAAAATTAAAAACATACACAGGAGCACCGCTGGCAGGTCGTCTAGAGGTATCGGTGGCACACGAAACATATCAATGCATAGACCATTAGGTTCTTCTTTACACTGACTTATCATGATTATCACAGACAGAATTTACAACAGTTTTACATGCAATTTAACTACTCGACGTTCATAGAAAAACTGCGAACACAAATTGCAAAATGCGCCGTCGCAACGCATCTATGTACATATCGACCGGAAGATCCCTCCAACGCCTACAACTCGATGACACGGACTAGATTTGTATTCATGTCCCCAAATAACAGAACTTTATTAAACGACGCACCCTTACTTTTGAGGGGATGTATCTGGTTGGTAGAGACTTGTATTGCGTCGCGACGCCACACCCGAATGACGCCCCAAGCTTATATTATACTTACACAGCTTTTCTGTTGTGTTTTTCGTATACTTACTTATTGCCGAAGATAAAAAGAGGTCTATTTTCGGATTCGAATTTATGACGAGATCAATTTCGTTCTATACAAATTGTCATTGTTAATTTCCAAGTCATCAACATTTATTTGTTTACAAATAAAGCTTATCGGTAAAATTGGTTTCTAAAGAAGCTTGATCGAAATTGACCATGTTAAAAGAGATTTTAAAGTTTTCGGTTCAACCCCGCGGTGAGAGCAAGATTAATTAAAACATCATTTCAAATGAACGCCAAAGCGTACAGCTCCAACCAAAAAGTGCAGTTTTAATTTGACGCGAAGAAGCGTACGAGCTTTGTACGTGTATATTAATTTAAGTTACACGCCATTTTATTTTCTGTATTCTTACAAGATCAATAGAAAGCAAAGGGATTGAATAGTGAAACAACGAATTGCATTTAGAAAAACGTAAAGAGCGCAAAGGGTGGAGAAGATGATAAGTTGCAAATCTCATTATGACAAAAGGGTGTTACAAACACAACTCTAGAAGGGATTCCCGTCACCCATAAGAAATAGATTTTATCTTTCTTAGCGCACGCTTCAAGATATTGTTTTAATCATTTAAAAATCTCAAATAAGTGAACGTGTTTCCGGTAAAGCATAGGGATTTCAATACTAATTTATTTATGTCGAAATATTTGCCCCCCTAGTTAATTTAGGGCAAAGTTGTCAATAGGTTTCTTGTAGCTTGAACAATTATGCGTCTACTCATGTCCTCATTTATTATTTTTCAATTCGAGAAACTGGAAAAAATAAATAAATTAGAATTCTATGTTTGTGTAACAATCTAATTTTTGTTTCAATAATTTTCAAAATTAGATTTATAATTACAATTATAATTTATAATTTCTCCGATTGCCCATAACAAAAAATTACAAATGGGCATATGAATTAGAATTTTACAATCTACAAAAAAATTATTTACAACTTTGCTGCAAAATAATTAGGGCGGAAAATATTTTAATATAAAGAAATTACCATTAAAATCCCTATGGTGTGTAAACCCTGTATATTTTGGAACAAACACATATTCCTAACTGAATCTCCACATCCCACTCCATCGCATATCTATTACCAGTAAATTTCCACTAGTGTGGGGCATAAAACTGTTTATAATGTATAAAAATGCAGTTCAAGAACTTCTAATAGAAAAATGAGCGTATAATCTTGAAGAGCTTTAATGCGTTAAATGTTACATGCTGTTTTTATCATTTTCATTATCTTTGTTTATGTGTATTGTAGCGAATATTCTAGAAATCCTGATAGACTTCGAGGTACCATAAAAGATTAGTCATCGGTGATAAGCAACGAAAGGGTATGTGACGCATTCTTTCCGGGAAATATTACGTGTTTGTTCGACAAAATTTTAGACTATTCGGGAGCGTTCCGAAGCGTTCGAGAACTTTCGAGTTAGTTCTAACATCGTTTCTGAGGGAAGTATGAAGCTCAAGTGAGTGATGGGGAGAGAGAGTGGTGGTTCGAAATTTATTTTATCTATAATGGTGTTCTAATGAAGGGTCTCAACGAATGGAATTAATTTCTACCAACCACAGTCCTCCTCCTCGGCCCCTTAGTGATCGGGTCTAAGTCCTCTTATCTCTAGAGCGGAGTGTCGGAGGAGAGTACTTACAAAGGGCGATTGGGACGTTTGGAAGAGCGAATATTTCGAGAAGTGTTGGAAGAGGATAATCATAAAGGGCAAGTGGAATGCCAAAATCTGCAGAACGGAGTGGCGGAGGAGGTACTCTCAAACGGCAGTTGGAACGTCTACACGGGACACATCTACTGGAGATGTGAATATCTCGAAAATGGATTGCTGGGGGAAGGTTTTTCTAAGGGCTTTAATCTTCTTACATTATATAACATATATTTTGAACGGCCTTTAAATACCTATTTGTAATGAGCCCTCTCCCCATTAGTCGTCTACCAAGCCAGTAAACATAGATAAATGCAGGGAGTTACATATGTACAAGTAACAAAATGGATGGTAGCACTTTTTCCAAATAAACCGAGAGTCCAACGTGTTTCGTTTCGGAGCCACTCTCAAGAAAGTGGTTAGAGTTGCATTTCTTCTTTAGTTTTTTTGCACATCAGCGATAAGAGTTAGAAAGACTGGTGGCACGCCTTTGGATAGATTTGGAGTAAGTATGTCCTTTCCGATTTAGCAAAATTTTTCAAAATTCCGACCATAAGAGGTCACACCCCTACATGGAAGGGCGAAAAAAAATTCTGATGTCGACCACATTTGGTTTCTGGGGGTTTTTGAACATGAATATCGCGAATCTGAAATTAGTTCTTGGCCGGACAACGAAAAATTGAGAGAATTTCAGGAAATTTAAGTAAAGAAGCCAAATTGTCGAACAGTTTTTTGGTGGTATTAGTTAACCGCGTAAATATCTGATTGTAAAAGGTACAAATTAGTCTTTAATTTATATTCCATTTTTTTAAAACTAATTATGAGAATTGTCCGTTTTGGGCAAGAAATTGTTTAAATTATGTATAAATTGTTTAAACAATGAAAACCTAATTTGAGTACAAATTAGTCTTTAATTCATAATTTTGGATGCAACTAATGAAATTTCAATCGGAAAAAGTGGGAGTGCCAACTTGATTTCAACGAAAAAATTATTTTTGTATTTCCAACGTCTAGTAAAATACGACCAAAAAAGTAAAAATCGGTCACCATTTCCCAAGATGACCGCCGTAGCACAGCATGCACGAGTATTCTTTTTTGGGTACAATTTAGTCTTTAATTCATTCATAGTTTTTTATGCAACTAATGAAATTTCAATCCGGAAAAGTAAAAATCCGTCACCATTTCCCAAGATGGCCGTCGCATGCACGAGTACTAATTTTTATGTTGTTAATAATGGATACTAGTACAAGACATACGCAAAGTATCGCGTTTTAGGGAATTACTTCTAGAACTGGACTACTGAACGTAAACAATAGCCCGTTTGTATAGGAAATATGACACCCGTACGTTTAGTTGGTTTGTTCTTCACTAGATACGTAATCATTTTTACCCAACTGTTCAAGTATTTTATTTTCTTTTCTTTATACAATGAACCTTTTCTTTAACATGGATAAAAACTGACACGTTCGATTTAATTTCTGGGTATTAGTTTATTTAACTGTAAATGCACAAAATTCACGTTTAAATTTCCGTTTTAAGAAAAATACCCGCAATCACAACTTTGTTTCTGGCGCCCAAAAACAAACTTTCACACTGACAAAGGTCGAACGAAATTATTGCGCGACGAAGTTACGTGATTATTTGTTGGTAGTTACCAACCGAATCTCTTTCAGAACTTCCCCGGATTAACTACCCGCGGAAAATCTCTCAGATAACAAATTTACCTTTTCACTTAACACTGCGTGCTGTAGTAACCCAGACCCGAATAAACGCAAAACGGACCACGCACTGGTCGCATCAGTTGTTCAAACGCGAATGAATCCAAAATATTCCGGAATAGCCCTACCTACTTAATTGCTGAATTGCGTTTTTCATATGGCTTCTAGTAACTAAGTACACCATTTTTTTTGTGTTAATTTGCGGTACACCCCAAAATGGACGAGCTTTTATTGGACGAACATAAGGCTGTATCTTGTAACCACCCGAATTCTACTGAATTTCATCTTTAAACTGGGTACGATAAACTAGTAGCTGGGTACTATTTTTGTAACAAAATACGACTGGAATAAGATTACTTCTTATTATCCGCGACTTTCTGGAGCCGAGAATTTACTAAAGTATTAAGAGGACAACGTGTTATAGAAATTAACTGACGGATTTTTACAATTCCCCAGTCATACAATTTATTGAAAAATTTCACCCTCTAAGTTGTTACATAGTAAGTCTTACCAATGCTATATTTAACAAATCCTAAAGATAATGGGCTTGACCTAGGGCCGGACTCGTTTGATTTACAAAATTCGCAGGAAAAGCTTGATTTCAAATTCATGAAAGGATCCATTTCGTGTCATTTAAAGATATAAAAGAAGACCTCTTATTACGTACCACAATTAGGGCTTTCGAATTTACATCTACGTGTGATTCGACAATTCATGCGACGAAATTCGGTCATAAGGCATGAATGGATATCAATCCACTGTGTTAATTGAATTCGATTCGGCTATTTAGATCTCGTATCACCCCATACTATTGCTGACCCCGGATTAAGTAGATCAGCTTCGAAGACGTTAGGCCCGTTTCCAAAAATGTCTATAATGTAAGTGAAATAAATTTAAGTGATAACGCTTATTCGTGTATTTATCTTTCTTCGGGGGCCGGTATATTTACATAATCCCTTCCATTTAACAAATGTCCCAGACGGGGTGCGTCGATGTGTTATTTATTCATGAATGCGGTATGCGCTTTTAACCCCGTTCGCAGGCGAAATAACTAACTGCATCTCAACATACTTCTACTGCTCATTAATAGAGCGGTTGCGATTTAAAATTATGGTTTGGAAATATGCGGGAATCTAATTCGTTAAGTGCACTTAACGTAGTGTATAATAAAAACAATTCAAATGAACCAAACAAATCAATAATATACGATCGTTCGGGATTATTGCTGAAGCGATAAAAACGTTTCACAGTTCAGCATAAACCTGCTACCCTCCCCTTGTTGTCCATTCAACTTGCAACTGGCGCTAATGTCACTAAGTCTGTGCATAACTCACTAACACCATCGTCCGTGCCGTATATATGTAGGGGTGCTAATGCTCAAATGGAACAGAAAAACACACCATCTGTTAACAATCTAATCGGAAA